CACCGGTGATATCAGCCTGCCACCTGGTGGCAAGTCCTGTGTCATGCAGGGGCTGGGGCAGAAGGATCTGGGTGGCTTGATTTGCATGATCTCCTAGGTTTCAGAGCTGCAGGGATCTAGCCTGCTCTTCTCTGCACAACAGCCCCTCAGCACCCTCCTGAGACAAGCTCTACCTCGGCTCTTCCCCAGGGGAGGGTTACTCCAGGTGTCCCTGTGTGTGGGGAGGATAGCGATGAGGAGTGGAGGAGGCTGTTTGCAAGCTGAAGAGAGGCCTGTGGGAATGGGGTCTGGAGATGAGGAGGTGGGAGGAATGGCCCCCTCCCCCAGGGCTGAGAAGCAGGGGGGTTAAAGCTCTTTCTTTGGATTTATACTCCTTCTTCTTTCCTAACTTTCCCCCCACTTCTCCTGACCACCACCCCCGGGGCTCAGTGGTGGGTGGGCTCAGCTGAGGAGACTGGCACCCTTGTTGTGCCCAGAGACATGTTTCTTGCTATACCGGGAGATTTCTGTGTCCTGAAAGGCCATGTGGGGCAGAAATCCCCTAGGGCAGTGCTTGTCAAACTCCAACGGTGCACATGAATCCCCCAGGGACCTGGGTGAGCTACAGAGGCTGAGTCAGGAGGTATGTAGTGAGGCCTGAGACTGCGCCCAGGTGGTGTCCACGCTGTAGAGCCGGACTGCACTTGGAGTCATGAGGCTCTAGGTAACCCCTCCAAAAGGCAACCAGCCTGCTGCCTCTCAGGGAGCTGCCTCTTTCCCCACCCCCATCCCCCTGGCCCCATCTGGCCCTTACCAATGGTGGTGATGGTGGACACAGAAAAGAAGAAGGAGCCCAGGAGCTCCCAGCGCCCCATGCCGGTGGTGTTGCTGAGGAGGCTGGCCCCGTTTTTGTATGCTTGGACGACGTCCTGGGGAAGAGGCTGCAATGACCACCAGGGTCTGTGGGGTGACGGATTTCCTGCACCTCAACACACACACACATACACACACACACACACACACACCCCTACACACACAGCCCTCACAATTACTCTTCGATCCCAGCCCACCAGGGAAAGGAGGCTCTACCCCTTTCACCAAGGGCTCACCAGGTACAGCTACCAACAGCTACCACGGGAACAGCTCCTTCCCCACCTTACCCAGGGGCTAGGTCAGGTTGGAGTCCTAGTAAACCAACCACTCATTTTCTCCCCTGCTCACTCCCAATTCCTGAAACAAACACTAGGCCAGGCATGATGTGTGGTGCTTTTAGGGGACGTGACCCCAGCCCTCAGTGATACACAGATAAACCTAATTAACTCTAATATGATGCAGTCAATGTCACTTTGGGCATTAAGGAGGAAGTGCAGCTACACAATCCAGGGCAAGTTGCTCAACTTCTCTCTGTGCCTCAGCTTCCTTACCTGTAGAATGGTAATACAAATAGTACCTATTTCACAGAGTTGTTGTGAGTGTTAAATAAGGTATTATGTGTAGTCTTAGTACCTGGCACATGGTGTTAGCAGTTGCTATCATCATCATTACTGGGCATATAATGTTGTAGGACTCTGGGGAAGAAGGATGTTCATTCTCATTTGGGTAGGAGCAGGGGCCTCGTGGAGGATGTGATGTTTTATCTGGGCCTTCCTTGAGGGTCAGGTAGGATTGCTTCTGGTGGAAGGACGTTTAGGTAGATGGGACAGCAGTGCAGAAGCTGGGAGGTGAGACTGCCTGGAACCTAGATTAAGGAGACTGGTAAGAACTGATTGAGGCCAAGCTGTGCTTGGCTTTGCCATGCCAGGTATGAAGTGGCAGGTATCATCCAAGGTCACTGAGCAAAGGTGAAGTAGGATCAGGTTGGTGTGCTCTGTGGCAGCTGGCAGTATAGCAGGGGTTGGCCAGAGGGGAGAGCCTCCTGCAGAGGTGAGTGACAGACGGGCCCTGGCCTGTCTCCTGGCACAGAGTGGTCCAGGAAGAACAGAGAGGAGATATTCAGAAGCCTAGGCGTCTGGCCCTATTTAGTATAGGCAGTAAAGGAGATGTTGCAGAGGACTGTGAGGGTGTGTGGACATAGCAGACAATCGAGATTTAGGACAGGTGGAGGAGCAGGGCTGGGAGGAGGACTGCTTGCTCTTGGATTTCAGAAGTTGCATGTCCACATCTGGTGCTCAGAAAGAAGATCTGGGCTGGATACCACATCCTTATTACTGGAGACAGCTGAAGCCACAGGAGGGTTGAGGAAGGGGGTGAGGTGGGGGTAGAGGGAGTTGAAGGGAAAGCCCAAAGAGATGACAGCCTGGCTCGGAATCTTGGGAAGCACCCACATCCACAGGTCCACACTGAAGGAGCACTCATGCTGGTTAATAGCTCCAGTTCCTGGCTATGGAGCCATGCATTCGTATGTAACCTCTCTGAGCCTCAGTGTCTTCACCTCTGAAACAAGATGATGAAAACAGTACCCACCTGTGAGGGAGGTGAGCCTGAAACAAGTAAATACGGGTAGAGCACTAGAAACAGTGCTCGGTACGAGGTAAGCGCTGCACGGAGGCATTTACTGTTATCATCACCATCATAGCCATCTCCCTGGGCCCAGGCTGCTTGTAGTTGAAGTTCACCACCTCTGCAAGGGTAATGGCAGGCAGCCTCAGCACCAGGACCCAGCAATCGGGCTGTATTTGCAGAAGTCCGCAGGTGGGGAGCTGGAGGAACCACTTTAGGTCCTTAGTAGAGATAGGCCTGGCCCTGGCTAGCTCCTGACTTCACTGAATCGGCCTAGTCCGAGGGTTCAGAACACCACTTCCGCTCCGCGCTGGGTCCCTTCCTACCGTGGCACGGTTCCCTGCCACCTTCCGGGGATTGGCTTTGGGCTGGAGACTCTGGATGGATGAGCCACCACGACTGCAAGGCGGGGATTCTGGGCTGGCGTGCAGCTGTCTGGACTCTGGGCTCTTGGACAAAGGGGTGGGGAACCAAGCCAGGGCCCGGGACATCAATGCCTCCGCCAACTCGAGCAGCTGCCAGTCTGGCGTCGCTTCAGTGGGAAGATGCGCCACCCCTAGAACCCTCCCTGGCCTCCTCCGCCCCGCTAGGCCCCACCCTCGAGGAGCCTCTGCTCAGAGTTACCTGGGAGTCCTCCCCTGAACCCCGCCTTCCGCCTTTCCGGGCAGCCGCGCGGCGGCGGCGCGCCCAGTCCTTGTGTCCGAAGACTCGGAGTAAAGCGGGTTCAGCCAGAGAGAGGCCCTGCGCCCGCCCTCCTCTCGAACCCGGGTCTGCGCACGTCGAGCCCCCTCTCTGCGTAGCGGGTGGCCCAGGCCAGCACGCCTCGGGCCCATTCCACCCACCCTCCGGGACTAGCGCGCCTTCCCCCAGGCTCCTACCGCTGCGCCCGCGCCCCTGCCATCCCAGCCCCGAGTTCGCAAACGTGCGCCCGGGTTCTCCCGCTGGAAGCGGCCAGGTGTGGCCTTTAGTCCTTCGCCATGGGTCCAGGTGCAACCGACCCCCCAGCAGGCCCAAACGCGCCCTTTCCCGGGTCAGGCCGGGCGGGGCCGGTTACGCGCGCGCCCCCTGCCGTCCTCGTCCTCGCCCCCAAATTCGGATGTGTCCCCAGGCATCTGCCTCCTTACTGGGCCAGCATGCCCTCTCGCTCCCAGGGAGGACTCAGCCCGGCTTCTCTCAGTCCTCTCGCTAGAGCGAGGGTCTTTTCCTCCGAGGTCCTCCAACCCTCTGGTCCCCGCGCAGGAACGCCCACCCCCGTAGTGCCCGCGTCTACGTTCCCGGCGTTTCCCTGACCAGGAAACGCCTGACCAGGGCCTGAGTAGGTCCCCTCGCCCTCGGCCTGTGCACCCCGCGGCCCCCTACCCCATCCCGCCGCGCCCAGGTCGGCCCTGCTCGCCCCTGACCCGGATCAGCGAGTCCAGCGCCGGGCGGTCCAGACACGTGAAGTTCTGCAACAGCTCCCACTTGTCGCGCTGGAAGCTGCGGCTGGAGTCCTGCGCCGCGCGGCCCTCCAGCGTCCAGAACACGCCGGTGCCCAGCGCCAGGTAAGTCAGGTAGGCGAAGAGCAGGAGCACGGTGCTGGGCACCGCGCAGCCTCGGACCGTGTCCTCGGGAGCCACCCGGGTTCGCGGTCGGTACATAGCTAGAGAGGCGGGGAGCCGGCGCCGGGAGCGGTGGGCTAGGACCTGGTGGGAGGGAAAGGCCAGGCACCCAGCTTGTCTCTCCTCTCGCAAACCTGTCGGTGCCCGGTTTCGCCAGGGAGGAGGAGTGCTGGGGAATGGGACAGCCTGGCCCCACCCAGCCCTGGGATCCAATCCCAGGGACAAAAAGAGGCTCTGAACTGTGGGCATCTGGCCCCGCCTCAAATGTGTGCGGGGTGCCCACCCGCTAGACCTAGGCCAGGGAGAAGGAGAAAGCTGCTGGGTGACCGCAGGCGCTGAGGGAAGGGGCCCTGAGCCCCCTCACATTTCCTGGAACTAACAATAGGAGGGACTCCTGGAAACCTCACTCAGAGGGGGGAGATAGGAGAGACCAACTTTATTGTCTTGGGGACCCTGCCTAAGTTCTTGGACTCGGGGGCTATCTCCAAGGACTTGCTGTCTGTCAATCTCAAGACCACCTTGGGTCTCCCACACCTCTGTCCTTTCCTTTGTACCCCAAAAGAGGGACCCCAGCTGATTGCCACTTGTCCATGACCTTGGGAGGTAAGGGGAGCCTTAACCAAGAGTCTTGTCCACTCCTTGCTTCTGAGAGGGTCCCCGAAATCCCTCTACCCGGAGTGGAGGAAGTGTCCGGGCTGTGTGAAGAGTTCATGAGTCCTCAGCTTCCCAGTCCTCTCTTGGATATGGGGAAGTCCTGGGGTGTGGCTTGGACTCCTCTTGCTGCTGTAGGGCCTCCCTCCGTCTCCTGCCTGGAGCCTCCTCGGCTCCACAGCCTTGCCTCAGACCTATGCAGAGGAACCCAGCCACGTAGGTGCGCGCTTGCTGTGGGATGGTGGGAGAGGCAAAGGCCAAAGTTTCCAGGCCTCTGGATGGAGTGGTCTAAATCTCTCCTTCTGGTCAGGGATGTTGCAATCTGGCAGGGGAAAGGCCAGATCTGGATAATGCATTCCTGAGAGAGGCCAGACGTTCATGGACCTCACTTTCTGGAAGGATCCTGGGATCTGCTGGCTCTCTGGCTTCCCAGGGGGTGTCTGGAAAGGCTCTTGAGAAGGCAGGAGCCCAGGGGAGTGATGAAGTTAAGGGGGTGGCCTGTGAGGGTCAGGGGAGGCCACATCCAGGAAAGTGGGTGGGACACCCAAGAGGTCCTAAGCCTTGTTCACAGACAGCCCTGGGGAGCTGGCGAGCTTTGAGAGGCAGCTCGCCTGCCCCTCGGCTGAGAGCTTCCGGAGGGCAGAGATCCTCTTTTCACTAAGATTGTTCCAAAGTCTCTGCCCAGCTCTCCCCTCTCTTTGATGCTCCCTGCAGCCATCCCATGGGCTCTCATCAACCCCGGGGCTATTCCTATCATAGCGTTTTGGGCACTGTGTTGGGGCTGCCTCTTTGCTTGTCTAGCAACTAAAGGCACATCAAGGGCAGGCACGTCCACTGCTGTATCCCCAGACCCTGGCATAGACCCTGGCTCAGCACCTGGCACATAGTAGGGGCTTGGCAAATGCACTGTGCAGGTATCAAATGAGGCAAAAGTAAAGTCATCCTTTGTTTGTGTAAGGTCTCTCAGAAGGGGGCATGGGGAGGACAATGGAAATCTGGCCACTCTTCCAGGCTACCTTTGGGTGGAAGGCTGTGGCAGGGGCTCTGGGACAAGGGTGCACCTCTCCAGCCACACATGTGTTTAATCCTATTTCATATCTCCTCTCTGTTACTTTCTTGGACATACCTGTCTCCTTTCTCTCTTGGGAGAGCTCCTGAGACCAGCCCTGGCTGAGAAGTGAGGGGGTTGGGAGAGGAGAAGGCAGGGCTGGAAATCCAGAGAGCAGATAGGGTGGGACTGAGGAGGATGAAAGGGGTTTCTGGGCCCCCCCACTGGGGGCCTCATGCAGAGATGGGGATCTTCTGAGGTCTGGGGAGCCCACTGGGGTCAGGGGCTACCCCGTCCTTCATGCCGAGGCCCCTACTGAGCAGCCAGAGCTGGCAGCATCTGTGCAGAAGCAGGGGGCCCAGTGGGAGGATCAGCGCCAGCCACGCCAGGCCAAGGAGGATCCAGATGGCTGCCAGGCTCCGGTACACTGAGATATAATGCTTGCTGGGGTCTGTGCCTGCCAGGGAAGGGAATGGCATCAATGCCAGGGATCTCAGGGCACAGCCACCTCTAGTTTCCATAGGGACCCTCACTAGCCAGGATGCTCTCTCCCTCTTCCTCATAGAAGGAACAGCAGTGGAGGTAGGTCTCTGCGGGGTGGTGATGGGTCCTAGACCAGAAACTTCTGAGAATGTTGCTTAGAATCCACAGTAGCCCCAGAAATCATTGGTTTGGCTCCCTTGAATGGCCAGGCGCTATCTTATCCTCAATAGTTGTCCTCAGCTGACATCTCTCCGTCCCCCAAATCCCAGTGGGCCCCCTCACCCTGAGATAATGTGACTGTTTTGTTCTCACCAACAACATAGTCCCCGAAGCCAATGGTGCTGAGAGTGATGAAAGCAAAGTAGAAGCCCTCGCTGAAGCTCCAGCCCTCCACATGGCTGAAGACCATAGGTGGGAAGATGAGAATGACCAGCGTCCCCAGGGTCAGGAACAGAGCCAGGCCCAGGACTTGCAGTACCTGTGAAGGAAGGAGTTGGCCCCTGAGTCCACTTGAAAGTCTCCAGGATTGTATGAGGTTGGGGGGAGTCTGGGGTAAACTTGGGAATGGGACTGGGCCATAGCTAGGCCCCTTCCCTGCCCTGCAGACCCTTGAGTGGAGGTTGTAGCTACGTGTGCATGACCTTGTCCCACCCAGGGAAAGATTTGGGCAGAGGGATTGCATTAGTGGGTCAAGGAGCGATTTGGAGACCCATCTGGGCTTGGGGATCACACTTGAACAGGCTCCCTGGGGACTCAGATCTGGAACAGAAAAGTATCATTGAACTGTCTGAGTGCCTCTGGCCTTGCAAGCGGCTGGCCAAGGGTGGGCACTGGGGGCACGCTGGGCAGCCTGCAGAGCTTGTTTGCTACTGCACAAAAGGATGTTGGAGTTCTGTGATGACCTTGAAGATGTGCTGCAGAGATCCCCCACTCAAAGGAGGATGATAGGCCAGCTGCCACCTCTTCAGGGTGTTCAGCTGCAGGGAACCTCCTGGCCAGGGGGCATACCCTTCTTGGGAAGGCCACACCCAGTGCCTGACTGAGGCAGGTATGAAAGTCTGGCTGGTTCCACCCACTATGGGACAACTCTGACAGCTCGCACATGCTGTAGAGCTCCTTGAGGCCAAGCCTTTGTAGAGCACGCATAGAAATCCAGCTCCCCACTCTGCCCAACCCTGCCTTCACCCTTCCTCTTTCATAGGCATCTACCCCTAACACCATGCATGCCAAACTCCATCTCAGCATCGGCTTCTGGAGGACTCCATTTGCAACAGATCTGTCATAGCAGGCCTGTAAGGGAGTTAGGGGGCATACCTGGGAGCGTCTGGGCCTGTCCTCCCATCTCTCAATGGTGGCCAGGTGGGCACGCAGCCCTGTGCCCAGGTGGTTGAGGAAGATCACGTTAAGCGGGATGCCCAACAGGGCATAGAAGACACAGAAGACCTGACCTGCCTCTGTGCTGGGTGCCAGGTTCCCATATCCTGCAAGGAAAGGGGGACATGTGCAAATATGGAGACTCCAGAATGCCCTCTGTTCCTCTTCCCCAGACTCTAGCTGAGGTTTGTCTGCCACCACCTCTGGGGGCGAGAAGGGGAAGCTCCCCTGTTCCCTTGAACTCTGCTGGAATGATTTTTATTTATAGGACTCCTGCTCATCTTTGAAGGCCCATCTCAAATGACCCTGCCTCCATGCAGCCCTCCTGACTGCCACGCTCCTTCTCCCTACTGGGTGTGGTTCCCCATAGTGTTTTATGTTATTGCTATGTAATTATCGACTTTGTCTTCTATTATTGTTTTTTGTGTGTGTGTGTGTATTTATGGTGTTCCTCTTTGTTGGACTGGAAGTTCCTTGCGGGCTGAGCCTGGGTCTGATCCAAGTTTGTATCTCCCACCCCCAACTCCATCACTCTGCCTGGAATGTTGCCTGAGTTCTAGGAAAGTATGTGGAATTGGACTTAGCTGAATGGATAGGGTAGACCTGGATCTGGCGGTTTCTTCCTTGGGGTGGGATGGAGTGAGTTTTCTGGCCAAGGGGGTGTAGCAGCTGCTGTCAGTGCCCTGTTCCCTCAGAACACACAAAATACCACCTGCAGCTTTGGTGGACAGTTCCTATATACAAATCACCCCCTGCTCCCAGTTTCTGCACATTTCTCTCTACCTGAGAGATTCTTCTGGCCGAAGGAGTGTGCTTGGTCTATGGGAAGTTTCAAAATGCTGGGGAACTAATATACTCAAGACCAGCTCTCAACCTTTGAGGGCAGGAGTTGGTAGCTAAATGGCTCTTCATTCTTGTCCCTCGTTGGACCATTCTGAGGATGGGCTCCATCTAGCCTTTCAGAGGGTCCCAAGCAGAAATGAGCCCAGTTACCCAAGCCAGTAATCTGCTCATTAATGCAAATTTCATTGCCGCCTTCTCCCTACTGTTTCACTTACCCACTCCCTCCCTGGGCTTCCTGAATCATCATCTAGACACACCACATCCTTGCCTCAGCATCTGCTTTTGGGGAGCCCAAACTAACACAGGAGTCTTGGGGAAGCTCTTCTCTACCCCAGCCCTTTACCTATGGTGGTGACGACTGTGCCTGCGAAGAAGAAACTGCTGCCAAAGTCCCAGTTGCTGGGGTTGGTGGAGTTGCCTTTGGGGTTCACACCTTTCACCCAGGCTTCCATGATGACCTGTGGGGGGTGGCATGGCAGGGAAGGAAGAAGGAGCTGATGGTTACTGGGCACCAGTTGTTGCCATGCTCTTGGCAGCATGCTTCTGTGTCATCTAATCTAATGATACTCTTAGATGATATTGTTCCCATTTCATGGAAAAAGGAAATGAAGGCTCAGAGTGGCTAAGTGACCTGTGCAAGGTGACTGGACTCCAACTGCAGTGTCTGTTCCACTGGCCAGGGCTGACTAAGGTGTAGACCGCAAGCATGGGCTGGGGCGGGAGATGGGCCTGAGGGGTGAGGTGGATGATACTCAGGGAGGGGTCCCATGGGAGATGCTGCTGGTGGCCAAAAGGATGGCACGCACATCAGCTGTTAGAACAATGGGAGGATTTCAGGTTGGGTGTGTCTGGAAGAGATTGCTGGGGAACACAGGGTTTAGGGATCGTAGGGAAGCCATGGGCTGCCTGCCATGAAGCCAGTGGTGGGACAGAGAACCCTGTGTTTCCTACTTGTCCAGGTGAGTGGGCACCCTTGCTCTTTGCTGCTCTCTAGTGAGCCCCAGTCCTTGCCTATGGGAGAAAGTCCAACAGAGGCTAGGACAAAGGTGGCGCGTGTGAGTGTGTGTGTGTGTGTTTGGTGGTTTATATGTGATGTGTTGTATGCATGTGTTGTGCATGGCAACTGTATGTTGCACGTGTGTGTATGTTTGTCTGTATGTGTGTGTTGCATGTGTTTTTACAGGACCCAAACCTTTGCAGACTCAAGCCTACAACACCTCCCCCCACCGCCCCACCGCTGACAACCTCCAGTCCCTGGGCCCAGGCCCCTTGGAGAATGGGCAGGGCTGTCTCCTCCCCTCTCCCCTGTAGTTGTAGATTGTCCCAGAGCAGCAGCACAGCCTTGCCATTTGTTGAAGAGCCCCAAAGGCAGGAGGAAGCCAGGGACACAACAGTTCTGGCTTCCAATTCCTATGGGAACCGGTTCCCGCTGGCTGGGTGGGTGTGCTTAGCTCAGGGCTGGGGTGGCCCTGGTGGGCCAAGCCAGTCAGGGCATCTGCGGTCACAGGCTGTCTGCTTCTCCTCACTTTGACGGGAACTGGCCTCTTAAGATGTGGACTTTGGCTTCCCTCTCTTTCCCACACTCACAAAGTGGCCAGGGCCCAACATTCCCGAACATGCTGGCTCTCTGGAGCCCCTCACTCTTGGGAGGCAGTACTCTAGTCCTGGGCCGTCCCCCGCTGCCAGCCTGCGGCCCTCATCCTGCTGAGGGTGCTGAGTGCCGGTGGCCGGATGTAGGCGGCCGCAGGTTCTTGACTTCCCAGTTCTGTGAACCTGGGCAAGCAGTGTTTCCTCACGGAGGTAATTTTTAATACTGCTTTTAATATTAATTACTTAACTTGCCCTGTGTGTGTGAGAGTTCAACAGGAATGTGTCTTCTTCCAGAATCTCACCCCAGCGTTCTTCTGCCGCCCAGCTCAACTGCCCCTGGCAAGGAAGGTTCTCTTCCGAGGCTGAGGACTCTCAGGGAAAGGGATGTCCTGTCTTCCCTGGGGAGGCCCCCAGGGCTAATCAGTGGCAACCCCTTCAGGGCTGCAATTAAGAGAATAGCCTCCCTTCTTCTTGGTTTATGGAACAAGTTAGGTCACAGCTACCCACCCTTCCCACGCCCTCCAGCTTGGCTCTCACCTCCAATGCGGAGCTAAGGGAGGAGGAGGTTTCAGCTTCTCCAGGGCCTCTGCCTTACTCCCAGGGTTTTGGGAGGCCCCTGAACTGCTCTGAACCCTGATGTGGTACGATGGCCCCCCAACTTTGACTAACCTTATCCATCAGGGAGAAGAGAGTAAAACCTGAAGCTGGAGGCCTCATTTCCTGGCCTGTCACAGCTACAGAACGTTCTCTCTGACCACCCAGGCCACGCATCATCTTCTAGGCCAGCTGTTCTCAGTCTTGAGGGGCTTCAACATCACCTGGAGGGCTTGTTGACACACAGCCTGCAGGACCCATCCCTGAAGTTCCTGAGTTAGCAGGTGCGGAGTGCGGCCTGACATCGCCAGTTCTAACAGGCTCCCAGGTGATGCTGATTCTGGTCCCGGGACTACACTTTGAGAACTGCTGCTTCAGGCTACATCCTGCCCCCAACACTTACACTAATTTGTGCCGCGAAGACCCAGGTCTCCAGAGCCAGAGGCCTGAGAGTGAGTGCTGTCTCTACCAGTAGCCGTGCAGCCTTGGCCAGCATATTCTACCTCAGTTCCCATCTACAAACTGGAGATAGAGATTGTGATAGGTAATGATGAGAAAACACCTGTAACACACTCAGTGTCAGCGGATGAGTGGATCATGATTGGATTAAGCTGGTCGTGAAGACCGTGTTTCCCACTGTTTTAGGCACATTGTAAGAGCTTAGTAAATGCCAGTTATCAAGGTGATTCGGCACTTGCTCTGTTCCTTTGCAGGGGCTGTTGTCACTCGCTCCAGCGCCTGTTTCAGATGCGTTCACCTCCCTCCACAACACGTGGTTTTGCCTTGTTTCTGGGAAAGAGGAAAGCAGAAAGGACCCAGGCAGGGGGTGACCCACTCTGTTACCAAGAGAAAGCCCCATCTGGGTGCAGTGCTGGTAAGCTCGGTCACCTTGGCCATTGCCCACCAAACCCAACTCCAGGTGCAGACAGGCCAGGAAAGGCCAGCTTGGTGGTGGCTGCCCCTGGCGTTTATCTGTGTCTCCCACCTGCAGCCCTCTGCCCAGGGCTATGAGCTGAGGAGAGGGCAGAAGGACCCGCAGCCCTGGAGTTGGGGAAGGGGAAGTATGAAAGTGTGGGAGGAGGAAATTTGGACAGTGCTGATAACACTGACATATAGTTCCCATTCATCCAGCAAGTGACAGCTTAGAGAGTGCTTTTAATCTGCTGTCAAATGTCTGCAGTATAGATAGGGCTATTCTCGTTGCCTTATAGATGAGGCTATTTGGGTCTAGAGAGGTTAAGTGACCTGTTCAAGGTCACACATCAATCCAGTTGTAGACCTGGGGCCAGAATCCAGGACTAGATCTCACCAGGCTCTCTGTTCCCACCACACTCTGCTTCCACATGGGGCATTAGTCCCTGGGTGAGGACTCTGGATCTGCCACAGGAACCCCTATTCCACCAACCTTCCCAAGCCTCTCCATCCCCATCCCACATCACTCCCCTTCACCTGCACAAACTGCTCCAGGGCCCACTGGTCCAGGCAGGTGTAGTTCTCCAGGAAGCGCAGCTTCTCCAACTGAAAGTGGTACCTGGACTGAGCCTCCGCCTGCCTCTCTAGCAGCTGGAAGATGGTGGCACCGAGCAGCAGGTAGCAGACATAGACCAGCAGCAGAGGCAGCACCCGGCCACCCCAGCAGCTGCAGAGCCCAGCATTGGGCATGCTGTGGCCAGGACCCTGCCAGGGCCGTGGGGCTGGCTATGGGGGAGAGGTGGGAAACAGGTGAGGAGTAAGCACCTAGGGACCTGTGCCCAGGCTGCTGCCTGCCCTGCCCTCCTCCTCGGTGCAGGTGTCTGGAGGCTGGGGAGGCTGTTTGAACAGTGCGGCTCAGCTTGGCTGCACTAAGTGCTATGCTGTGAGTGCAAACAGGCTGGCCATCCCCTCCCGGCCTTTGTTTCCATGGACAGCAGCAAGTCAGTGTCCTGGACCCTTCAAAGAGACCCACCAGGTTCTCCTGAGTGCTTCATGTCTCTCCTGCCTCCAACTTGGATGGATGTTTCTGGGCTAAGCCGGATAGGTGTGCTCACTCTGTCCAGGCCCCAGTGGGCTCTCTCGGCAGCCCCCAGCATCTTCGCCCTTGAAGGCTGTAAGCCCCCAGCTTAGGAGCTGGGACTAGATCAGAATGGGCGCGAATAAACCTTCTACTCAGTTGCCTTGGCTACAGGATGGGGCAGGAGAATTGACCTGCCTATTGGGGGAACCTCAGGACGCGTAAACTGCGCAACAAATCAGGGCAAAGTAAATAGACAGGTGATTGTCTGGCTCAGCCCGATGGTAAGAGTGTCAGGGTTGATTCTGCTGATAAATTGGATATATTGGTTTTATAACTTTTGCTAATTTGTCTTGCATGAAGCCCTCTAGTGGGTTACCTTCAGAGGATATGTCGGTGAAATATATGTGTGAATTAGAAAGAAACTAGAAGTATATCCTGATCCTGGGATGGTACCAGTGGCTCTCTCTGAGTGGATGGAATTGAGGGTGCTTTTCTTTCTCTTTGCCTGTGTGTGTGTGTGTGTGTGTGTGTGTGTATATGTGGTGTGTGCACATGCTTGTTCGTGTACATGTATAACAGCTTTATTGAGATATAATTCACATGCTGTATCATCCACACATTTCAAGTGTGCAATTCAATGGTTTTCAGTCTATTCACAGAGTCTTCAAGGTTCAGCCTTGTTGCTACATGTAACAGTCCTTCTTCCTTCTTTCTGGCTGAGTAATATTTCGTTGTGTGGCTATAACACATCTGTTTATCCATTTGATTTCTAGTTGATGGACATTTGGGTTGTCTCTGTTTCCTTCTTTTAAGAATAAAGCAGCTATGAACCTCTGTGTACAAGCTTTTCTGTGGACCTATGTTTGCATTACTCACAGGTACAAACCTAGGAGTAGAATTTCTGGATTATCTGGCCACTCTGTGTTGAACTTTTTGAGGAACTGCCAGGCTATTTTCCAAAGTGGCTAAACCGTTTTATATTCCCACTAGCCCAGGGCGAGGATTCCGGTTTCTCTGCTGTGTTTTCTGCTGTTTCCTTTAATGAGCTGTGGCTGCAGACACTGTGAGTTGCGTGCTGAGTATCCTTTTCCTCCTTCCCAGGTAGCAGAACCCCGACTTTGTAAGTGTCAACCCCAGGCAATGGAGCATAATTGGTCTAAGCCATCGAGCTAATCTTGCTCCCCTCTGTCTCAGTCCCTGAGAGCAGTGAAGTCACTGAAGACCCATAAGACAGTGGGCAAGAGGGCCAGACTGAGGAGAAAGCCAAACAGGACACCACAGTCCCAGCCTCAGCCTGGTTCCTGGGAGCCCTGGCAGGTGAAGTGCATCCCGGTGAGTCCCAGCAGGGGAGCTGGGCCTTCATATTCCCACATTAGTCTGTCACTCATGCATTTCTGGCTTTGTGCACGTGCAGGCAAAATGGCTCCAGGAGCTTGTGGAGAGCCCCAGGTGCAGGCTAGGCCACTGGAAGAAAAACACATTAAAACCTGGGGAGGAGGCCTGAGGGTCTCCCACTTTCCCAAGCTCCCTTGCAGCTGGGGCTGGCCACGTACCCAGGTCCAGCCATGATTGGGCAGAGGTGGCTGTGGAGGTTTGGGCAAAATTGTTGTCTCTTGACAAAGGGTTCAGCTGCAGCTGGCCCCACATTTCTCCCTCTTTCTGTCTGGACCTGCTGAGCCATCTTGTGTCCCTGAAGGAAAGGTCATGGGCACTGCAAAGACACTGGACCAATTCCTGCACACACCTCTCTAGATTTCTTTTTATATTAAAAACATAAACCTTATTTGTTTCAGCCACCATTAGGTATTCTCTTACTTCCCAATTGTTATTTTTGTTGTTGTTGTTTGTTTGTTTGTTCTGAGACGGAGTCTCACTCTGTAACCTAGCCTGGAGTGCAGTGGTGTGATCTCAGCTCACTGCAACCTCCACTTCCCGGGTTCAAGCAATTCTCCTGCCTCAGCCTCCTGAGTAGCTGGGATTACAGTTGCACACCACCAAGAACGTCCCGACGCAGTGACAAGCCTGCAGGCTTTCGTCTACGCTGTGGCTTAGACATGGCCGTGTCTGGGGGTGGTGTGATGGAGCCCACCTTCTCTGGAATTCTGCTGCTTCTGGAATCCTCTGAGGCCATCTGGGGATCTCTGAAGTGGTTCTGAGCAAGCCCCATCTCGCATGGTTCCGGAGCTTTCCCAGACAGCACCTTGTTGGGATGTGGGGTTGTCTTGGAGGGAGAAGGAAGCATCTGGACTCAGATGGGGCAACAGAGTGCTGGCACTCATTTCTACTACAGATGCACTAGCTCCTGGCTTAAGCAAGGGTTAGAATTATATCTGAAAGGCAGTGTGAGAGTCAAACCCTATTTGATTGCCCTGGAGAAACTCAATACATGGAGAGCTCTCTCATGTATCATTTAGAAAGCTCATCCGTGGATGTCTGCAGGGCTTCAAGCAGGACTGAGCAACTCTGTAGCACTGAGTATCTTCAAGCAGTCTGGACGCAGTCCGCAGGTAATGACGGTTGTTCTAAGGGGGATGGAAATGAAGGAAAAGAGAATGGACTATCTGCATGGGAGAAGGGGGTGAATGTAGTGGGCCACAGGGATGTCTGAGGTGGGCTGGGGTAGAGGGAGGGATGAATCAGCCATCAAGGTGCCCTCCCTCCCTCAGGTCCTGGGCAGGAAGTGGTACCAGACTCACTGTGGGCGGACACTCCATTCAGTTACGAATGATCTGTTGGGAACCTACTGTGTGCTGGGACTATCTGTTGAGACTCTACCATGTTCTGGCAAAGTCAGCCGGCGCAGCTTCCTCCTGCCTTTCCTGGCTCTTTCTCTGCACTGCTGCCTCTCTACTCTCTTCTGGTTGCACCCTCACATCTCCCTCTTACATCAGTTTTTCAAAACCACCCAAGCCCAACAAGACTTCACATGGCTGGGGTTTAGGATAGAGTCTTTCTCAGAAGCATGTTCAGTTTAATGGGGGACTTCTGAAAACCCTAGGGCCACAATAGCCACAGAAAGGGCAACATCATGGTGGACTTTGGGGGAGATCTCAGCTCAAGAGGCCCACAGAGCTCTCTGCACCAGAGAGGACGTTCCCATCCTGCCTCCCTCGCTTCCTGCCTTAACTCGCTCTACACACACTGACTGAGTGCCCTCCATGTGCTGGGACCTGATTCAGCTACTCTTCCTAGTCCACTGTGGTCCTCTGAGGTCAGCACTTGGCCAAGATTAGGAGAAAAACAGCAGGGCTGCAGGGACCTCCCTGTCCAACATCTCCCTACGTGAGCACCACTCTGCTGTGGGCTTTGGGTGGACACAAGGCATGATTTACAATCCCTTTCAGGGAATTATTGCTGCTAATGGGCAGAGCCAATTTATGCTTCCCAAGGGGGAGGGCAAAATCAATTAATGGAGAGCCTGACATGGCCAGGCCTGATGACAGAGTGTGGCCTGACATCCGGAGGTGATAAGGGACTTTCTGAGGCTGAACTAATAAGGAGATTGGGGAAAAAGAAGAAAAACAACACCCCCTCCCCATCTGCCCAATCGATTCAGTGTACAATGGGTAGAGAATGCAGAGTAAACAGAGCAGCTGGGCACGAGCCTCTTTCCATCTGAATGAGCCCCGAGATAAGGACAGGACAGGCCGCCCATCCCACCATCCAACATAGGTATTCACTGTGGAGCCCCTCAATAGACACATATCCATATGGGTGAAAAAGGACACTTTCCAAACTAGAATGCAGGGGAGAAGATAAGGCCCTCCTGCCCCAGGTGCGTGCCTTGTAGTAGATAGGGCAAGTGGAGACAGCACTGGTTTTAGATGCCACCTCCCTAACTGTGCCCCCTAAATAGTTTGCACCACGTGGCTGGAGCAGCAAGCTTTGGATGTGGGAACCTGGGCTCCCGGAGTCTCCCCACAGCATCCTATATGGAGGCGGCAGTGGCGCGGGTGTGTAGGGGTCTTTGTGTGCCCTCGTGAGTATGATCTCAGAGGTGGGCCAGCTCGTGCTGTGACCAGCAGACAGACCAGGGAAAGCTGAAGCGTGATTCAAGGTAAAGCCTTGAAACAAACAAACAAACAAACACACCTGTTACTAATTTTGTTCAGAAATTACATCTTTCTTTTTTTTAAGGAACAGGATTCCTCTCACACATGAAATCTTTGCCAGAGCCCCGGTCTGAAGCCTAGTTAAGAGTGGAGCTGCGGTTGAAGTGGGGGAAGAGGGCTCCCATTTCCACCAGCCCAGAGAGCGGGATTTCAAGAGCCCTTACCCATAATTCTGAAATGGACGCCTTTGTCTAAGTTGGACTTCCCTCAGCGCGGGTCCTGAGACATAATGCGGGTGTGCATGGTTTATCCGGGACCTGACCCCAGGATGCGCAAACAGGGGAGTGGGGAATGGAAGGCAGTTGATTCAGGGTGTGTTTTTGCACAGGTGACTGTTACGGGCAACTGGGTCCCCATCCTGTGCAGAACACGCTGTAGAGTTGTCCCACAGAGTGGCAAGGAAGCTGGGGTGTTTATCTACCTACACTTGTCCCTCGTTAATTGAGGATTGCTCCTGGGGAGGTTAACTCCTGCACTGCCAGCCTGCCCTGCTTGTGGGCTGAGAGCACTCCTGTGGCCAGAGAGTCCCTGTGCGTAGAAAGATGCAGGTGCTTAGGACAGAATGCTACTGGTGTAGATGGAGACATTCCACGAATGCTGCACGTGACCTCCAGGCAGGCTGGGGGGATCCGGCAGGGCACTGACACTGTCTGTCACAGGCTTTAGTTCTCCATCCCTTTGTCTGGGTCACTGTGGTAAGTGCTGCAGGGAAATTGCTCT